GGAGTATTGAAGAAATAGGTGATGTTGAAAAACAGAAGCTTTTATTTTTCTGTTAGAAACCTCTATAAATCCAATTATTTCATAATTTAATAAAAATAAAAAAAATAATTATTATGTTAATATTATTCAAATGGACCAATCACAGATATAATAACTATCACGTAACTCTACTCTACTTTAGACGACCTCTAAAAAAGGAATAAGGACACTCTTACTAAAATTAGCCATATTATACATATATAATCTCATAGGAAGACTTTCTTCTAATTAGTTGAAAAAATTAATCATCATTTCTATAATAAGTACGATTGACAAAAACTATCCAATAATAAAACAATTAAATATATAGCAATTATAGTTGTACAATCTGCAACAAGATAAGAAAGAGAATTCCAACATATAGAGAACATACATAGAACCAATAAAATTACAAATAATATAATAATATAATAACTAATTATGAAAATTCTGATATAGATGTTTATTTTATTATATATTTCATAAAAGTAACGAAAAGCAATGAAAGGCAAATATTAAAATGTAATAAATTATTGGTTTTATCTTTTCATATATTCAGAAAGTATACAGATTTCTTTATTTTTTAATATAAATTTGTAACTCTTTACTAAAAATTTTTAAAACAAGTTCTTTAATAATATAAGGAACTTTAAGCTTTGTATTATAGAAATGCCACCTATAAGCAAACTCTTTTAAAACTGAGATTATTTTGGATTATTTTTGCAGGCAGTTAGTTAGCATTTCAAAGAAGCAACGGTAAGATTATTTTTTACTTAATGTAGCTCCATTATCTGAAAAAGTATTTTAAACTGTATAAATAATAACTGATTTAAATTGATCTGCAATAGCTAATTATATGAAAGTCTTCTAATGATATAATATCACATAATCAGGAAAGTTTCTTAAATATTACCAGTCACGTGGAAGTAGAAATTTACCTATAAACTTTACGCATGTCAGAAATGTATGCCAAGTCAATAGCATAGCAACCGCGTCTCAACCACACACTGTTACGTGACTATAATGCCAGCTATAATGCCAGCCTAAAATTAAGCAGCCAAAATCATTATACTTGATTGTACTGTAACAAATAGTAAACAAATATATATTGCGTTAGCCTGATTGTTAATTAATATATGCCATTCATTTTATCTGACCTTTTTCCTACACACTCTCTTTCAAATATTTCATATTTTTAACGAAATATTTAAGAGCTTTAAATCAAGTCTCAAAAATACTTTCTTTAAAATACTTCTTTTGATGTACTTTATATGTTAATTAATTATATAAGCAAATCAAGTTATACAGCATAGAAGTCGATAATACTATAGCACAGGTAGTTATTTATTTTTGGAATATATTCTGTTAAAAAAAAGATAAAGTAGTTATTATTTGTATAGAAATTTTTATCTTTATTAATTTGTTAAATAGCTAAATAGTACATTTTTTCACTTATTGTTATATACCATTGTATATTTATTTTTATCTTCATAATTTGTTAAATAGAGTTTATTCATTATTGTATATTTGTTAATTAATAAATTATTGATTATCGGTATATAGTATTTCTAACTTCACTTATTGTATAGTATTTATTTTTATCATTTTAAGCGTCTTATTTTCATAATTTGTGCATTTATTTATAATTATTAATAAATAAAAAACTGATTTTTAGATTTTTCTTGAAGTTCTCTACCTGAACCTTTAAAACCAATACTTCCTCAACACTATATATATATAATCGAAAAATTTAATGAATTATCATCTTATCAAACAGCAAAGAACTTTTCAATAATATAATTTGAGCTAGACACATTTGTAGATGTTAATGACAAAGAGAAAGCATTCAAATGGATTGCTATATTTAAATCTCATTCAAAAATAACAATGCCGCAGACAAAAGGTTATGGAATAAAGGGAAATATGTGCTTTTTCAGGAGAAACGCTATTGCATTCATAGTAATGAAGTAAAGAAAAAGCAAGTTAATTGTGAGACAAAGCATCTACATTCATCTTGTGCTCAAAATACAAATTGCACTGCATCTATTCACTTTCGACTAGAAAATTGGCGAATAGAATCATTGAGTCATCCATTTGAAATAAACAAAATTTACCTACAATCACATAATTAATTCTGAAGCTCTTAGTTTTTGGCATGTTAAGAAAGAGATCTGTGAAAAATACTTGGAATTGTTTAAAGATAGGCATTCCTTACATTAGCATTATTTACTTATGATGATGAACTTCATCTTAGTGTAGATGCGCAAGAATTAGTGGAGTTACTCGCAAATAAATCAAGCAATCCAGATTATGATTATATCTTAAAACTCTTTCAACAAAATCGTAAAACTGTACTTGGTAATGGAAAATTAATATTTGAACGGTTGGCTGAAGTTGTCAATGAATATAATGCTTTAAGACAGGGAAAGGCAGCTATGCAGAAATATGATTCAAGTATTAGGAAGTCATACATACTTTGCATTGTAACCAATTTGATGTGCTAGATACACGAAAAAATTCCACAAGCAGGTAAGTTGCATTTTTACAATTGTTATTTGTTTGACTTTATTAAATTACTGTTTTAATGAAAATATTTTTCTTAATACTTTTATAGGCGAAATATGTTATATGAACGCATCAGCTTCCTTCGAACCCTTAACATATCAAATACATTGTTCTATACCAGTTATGTAGTAGGAGCTCTTCTGATTGCACTATTCGTTCCTTTAGACGAACTTGAAATTACATTAGAAAAAGCCATCAATTTATTAAAAATTATTCTTCTGTTGCATGCATTCTTTGACGTGGTTCACAAGTCAGACTGATGGTTTTTATAACTGATGATTCTAGCGTGAAATGCAATGCACTGGAGCTGTATTGGTCACAGGAGATTTAACTCCTATATACATTTCATATTTTGCAAGCATTTTGGCCTTGACTTTATGATTTGAAACACCACATTAATAAGAAGGATCGGACAATAATTATAGAAAAAATAAAACAAATTCTCTATGTGTTATCAATTTCAGCAATAGAAATGCATTATAATGAGTTTAAACAAGGCTTTTATTATTCTTACCTTCTGTTAAAAGCATTTGGAGCCTTTGTGGAGGCATCATCATTTTTGGGCGCATTCTTTCCATTCAGGGTTACTCATTCATGGTAACAATACAAATAATTACGTCGAATGAAGCTTTTATACATTGAAAGATATTATTTTCTTAAGGTATTTATTCAGAATTAGCATTATTTATTTATTATTCAATTATTGAAATCTTTATGAAATTTATAGGATGCAAGCATATAACTCAGTTCAAGTTTTCCAATTTGTAATAGCAAATATAAAAAGGTTTTACAAATGGCGTTTACTTGGCTTTTTATATAGACATTCCAGTCATTTACGAATTGGGAAACAATTCTTTTATCCCAGATGGGAAACTGTAGATGCAAATTCCATTTAATGAAAAAGTTTGGAGAACGAGTATTTGATATCAAGCACTAAATAGAACACTTCCCTTGTTTACATAGTGAATAGTGACTTAGGAATTTGTACCTATCCTGTTGGAATATCAAGTGCTTCTTGTAAGCATCAAGGGACTGTTGCAATTAAGTTTCATATTGTAAATTTTAACTTTTTGCCATTTCTAACACCTGATAATTATATGTTTTTTACATATATTGCATTTGGTAAAATAGCATTTATAGCATATTTTTAATTAATATACAAAAATTAACTTTATTTTTTTTCTTTAGGATATGTCACAAAAGATTGATCTTTTTATGCATTATTACATTCTGAACCTGCTTCACAGGATCAAGATGCATCAGAATGTATAGAACTTTCTTTAAAGGATTGGAGAAGTTTAGGAACAAAACAAACAAAAGGAGTAGTAAATAGCGAATATAGGTTTATTAATTTAATAATATTACCAATTATATTTTATTAACAATTTTTTAAATAAAAACTTTGTTCTATCTTATAAAGAACTGAATAATAAGGTTGAAGAAATCGATAACTCCAAATTTATGCTCTTCTTAGAAAAGATTAAGGAAGATTACCTAAACTCCAATTTGCAATTACGTACTGCATTAGATAAATTTATAAACTGGTACCAAATAGCAAAATCAGTGTCTATCCCTCGCTTGACAGCGATCGTAAAAGAAAACTACCTACTATCAAAAATAAGGAAAATTTGGATCCTCAGACTATTCCTAATCGAAAAACAAAAAAAAACAGGCAAAAAGGCACAAGTCTAAGCAAAAATATAGGAAAAAATCAACTGAATTGAGGCAAGGTATTTGCGTTAGCATTTATAATATTTTCGTATATATAAATTTTTTTTAACATTTTTCAATAAAAATTTATTTATGTTACAGTTTACAATTAGCTTATATAAAATGCGTCTTTTTTTAAATTTTTTTAAGGTCACTAATGGACGAAATGAAGAGAACGTATCACACATAGGATTTTCAGAATGGAAGTCAAGATATTACTTCTACACCTGAGTACAATTAATATTTTAAATTTTAAAATAATTTGATAATATGGTATAAAGAACATTTATACATATAGTTTTTAATAAAAAAAAAAAAAAAAAAAAGATGCGAAGAACGTTTATTCAAAATATTTTTATAATTTTTCTTTCATTTTACAAAATTTTTTTAATGAAATTAACGCGATATACTGTTTACTACGGTACAGTCAAGTACAATGACTTCGGCCGCTTAATTTTGGGCTGGCACTACGGCCGGCATTATAGTCACGTGACAGTGTGTGGCTGAGGCGCGGTTTCTGCGCCACTGACTTAGCACACATTTCTGACATGCTTTTTGATTTGCCAGCACGCCCCATATCAGATCGATCTTTCTGCCAATGTGAAAATTTTGATAATTGGTCAGATGTACAAATAAAATTTTCTGATTAAATATCCTCTTTTTTTTATACAAAAACGTATTCCTGACAAACAAGGAAGAATTACAAAATGAAGGAAAATGCGAAGATTTTCCGTTGCATTCCTCCTTCAGCTAATTGGTTCTCCTATAATACCGCTTCATTATCTGCAGAGGCAAATTTATTTGCATATGCTGCTGCTACTACTGTATTTCTGCTTAATGCAGAGACCTTGCAGTATGTTGGATATTTATCGGGACATTCTGATAAAATAAACGCGCTGGATACAGCTGGCACTTTGTGTGTTAGTGGAAGTTCTGATAAAACTGTAAGGTGCTGGGATATGGAGAGCCAAAAACAAGTCGCGTCTCTGACTTCTTTTAAGGTATCTTGACATAATTATTTCGAAGGCTACGTAAAATTAATTATACGATATTAATGCGACTGATTTTCCAATTCACATTAGAGCGACATACTAGCTGTTGCATGGACTACAGATAACCAATTAATTGTATCAGGTATGATTTCAATATGCTTTTATACATGTCATTTGAATTCATTCTGTCGCGTTTTAACGCGTAAGTTTATATATTAGGTGATAAACTTGGAGATTTAACTATTTGGAATCCTAATAATAATAAATTCAACAAATGTTATTTCATACAATCGCCTGTCGATTGTATCGCCGCATCACCAACTCATCATAGATTGGTTGCATTTGCGTAAGTTCTCTGCTCTACATGCATATATTGAATATATCTTATTTTTAATTTGAATATTTTTTATTAGAAATTTATATTGCCTAATGTTATTTTAGCTTTCATAATGGAGCAATCCTTATTGTAAATATTGATTCATATCTGAATGGTCATATTATTCGCCGCTTAAATGGGCACGATCTTGATATTCAAAGTTTATGTTGGGAACCAAGTAATTATCAATTTCTCACATTCAAATATTTTAACTATTTATTTAATTATAACAAAAAAATTTTTTAACAAATTTGACTAGAAAATGACGTAACATCCGAATTTACACATTTGGTCTCTGGTTCTAGAGATAAAACAGTACGCATTTGGAATGTTGAAGAGGAAAAGCTTACAAGAACGATCACTATGCCAGGTCCTTCGCCTCACTTGACAGATCAGCAAAAAATAAGACTATTCATGTCTACTGTATGGTTTCCTGGAAAGAATTGGCTGGTTTCGGCTTCATATATGTAAATATAATTATACTCTGTATTTTATTTGTTCATTCATATGCTTACTATTTTCCAAATTTGATATCTTGTACAACATTAGGGGAGATGTATATTTATGGGACCTTGATACTTTTCCAGCAAGGTTCCAAAAATTCAGTATCCATAATCGTCCTATTTTCACAATGCAATTTTTTCCTTGTGGCACGAAAATGATCACAACTTCAATGGACCGGCAGGTATTTCGTGCAAATATAGTTTTAAATGTCCTTTTAAGTCATTTATTAATTTAATATTTATTAATTATCAAGATAATAATATGGGATATTATCGAAAGAAAACCCATAATTATTGCTATTACAAATTCTCAAACTATTAGTGACTTGGCCATTTCTCCCATGGACCCATATAAATTATCGATTGGAGGTGGAGACACTTCAGTTAAAATATGGAAATTCTCAAGCCCTCAAAATCCATATGATATTTCCTTATATTATAAGGGTCTTAAAAATAAAATATCAAGCGTAAATATTATCTGATTAGAAAGTTTTATATATATATATATATTTATTTATTTATTTATAATAACTAATTAATTATTTATCAATTCATTGCTTATTAAGTTAAAATATCACCCAACCAAAGAGGGAATGTTTGCTTATGGTACCGATATGGGTGCAATTGGTTGGTTTGATGAATTCCAAAGTGATAAGAATTTTAAAACTTTTGCCTCTTATCATAACAACAAAGTTTATGCTATTCAATGGAGTATGCCAGATTGGTTAGAATTGCCAGTAAAAGAAAAACCAGAGAAGGATAATATGTTTGTTCTTAGTTGTGGGGGCGATGGTCAAATATTACTAAGTGATATCTCAAGACCGAACTCACCATCTTTATCCGTCAATAATATGATTATAGAAGTAAATACAGATTGGATACAATTCCTAAAGGTAAATATAGAAATTCTTATTAGAGATTTGTTTCGAATATTTATACATTACGTTATATTTTCGTAGAATAAATCCGGATATTTACCAAAACGAAGTGAAATTGCAGTACACCCTACTGGCAAATATCTCGCTGTTGGTAACGTTGATGGAAAATTAGAAATTTATGAATTGCCTTCATTAAAAATAATATACCATAATGTTAGACATCGCGCCATTATTAATAAACTTACATGGTGTCCTCTAGGTTCGTTTGAAATTAATTATGTTTAGATACTTATTTATTAGAATAACTTATATCATGATTCTTTAGATTCTGAAGGAAACTCTTTTCTACTTGCATCTGGATCAGACGATACATTAATTACAATCCATGACTTAAGTGACCCGGAGAAGCTCGCTCCCACAGGTAATTTTTGTTATCTTGTGTTGAGCTAATTTGATCAATTGAAGTACTAAATATTTTTGATTTTAGTTTATATTCCATCATCATCTTGTAAGCAAACTCTTCAAATGCATAAAAGGGGAGTAACAGACATTTCATGGTGTCCAACTGATACTACCATGATCCTTTCTTCGTCATTTGATGGAACAGCTATTGTAACTAAATCAATTGAATTGTCTTATGGTTTTGAAATATACTTTTATGCTAAATGATTTTATTTATATTTACAAGGTATGGAATATATTAGATGGTTCCCCAATTTCTTTATTTTGTGGACATCAACCTCAAAATCGGGTATTTTGTACGGAATGGAGTTTGCATGATAAAGATTTAGTTTTTACTGCTGGAGATGATGCAATGTGTTTTGCTTGGAGGCCCAGTGAAAATCCATATAAACCAAAGAAAGGTAGTCACTTAATCTTTTTATTTATGTTCATATAAATGAAACCAAAACCAATTCATTTTTTTAATATTATTTGGATAGATTTTATAACAGAATCGGCGTCTCTGAATGAAAAATTATCACATCAGAAACAAGATGTTTTGTCGACAGAAATAGTGGAAATTCCTATAGTAAAAGATACTGTTACGAACGTAGAAATTAATCGTAAACCTGATAATCGGTCATCCAAAAAGATCAAAAAATTAAAAACTCTTCTTCCTATTAGTTCTATTCCTTCTCGGCGCAAGAGTCTTCAATATAAAATTTTTGAGCTTGCACATAAATTATATGGCGGTGAGTGGGAAAAGGCTATGAATTTATGGGAGGACAAGGAGCCGGGCAAGGAAAATACTGATGAATTTGGCCAACAAAAGTCTACGTTTGGTCAGCTCTTCTTTGGAGAAAAGTACACGGCAAGGAAAGCCATTTTAAAAGAAGGTATATAGTCATTGTATATTTTTTTTGGTTCGGTCGCTAATTATTAAAATAATTGGTATTATATTTTGGAAGTTGAGGCGCATAATGAAACAGGTGCTACTTTCAATTTGGGTGGCTTAGAAGCAACTCCTGCAATTCTATTGGATTTATGGTCCAGTAATTTCACTTCATTAGTTAAACGTACTGAAGATAGTGAGGAATTTTCCGGGCAAGACTGGATGATTCTTGCCCTTAGTCCTATTGGTAAGAATTACAAATTTCCCTTATTTTTATAAATATAATACGTTGGTTGAATCTTATTACATTAATTTGCAGCTGGACGAGATGTATGGTTATCTATGATGCACCGGCAGGCTCAAAAGCTTGTCGCAAAAAATGATCGTCACGGAGCTGTTATGTGTCTGATTGCGTGTGGAGAAATACATGAAGCAATTAATATTTATCGTAAAGCTGAGATGTTTCGGTAAGTCTATATAAATACAAAAATACAAAAATAATCAATTCGCACGATCTGTAGTAAAATGAATATATATTTTGTCTTTTAGTGAAGCTATTGCTCTAGCAAAACTGCGTCTTCCCGAAGATGAACCTACTTTTTCGGATTTATATAATTCATGGGCAATTCAATTAGAAAAGGAAGAGGCATATGAACAGGCTGCCTTATGGTAGATATATGAAATATTCTTTATCATTATTTTTTAATTACGCATAACCTGGTATAAGTATTTCGCCTTTATTGCTTTTATTTAATGATATTGTATATATTTTGGTTTCAGTCATCTAATAGCAAAAAAAGAAGATTCATTACATCACGTATTGAACACTTTAGCACGTCGAGGAGATCTTTCTTCGCTTCGTGCTTCTGCAAGTTTAGCATTAATGCTCGAAGATGATTCTACTGAAGAACGAACACGTCGATATTTCGAAAAAATAGAAGAAAAAAAGACATCAAATACTGAATTAAGCGAAGAGCACAAACTTTTGGAAGATGAAAGTGGTAATAAGAAAGCATTAAACCCCGATACTATAGATATTGAAATTTAATCATTAGGTTGTGAGAAATTCGATGCAATTTTTATACTTTTCATAAACATTATACATATTTTAACATTGCAATTATTTAACTTTGTGCACGTGACTATTACGAATTGACCAATAAAATTTCATCTTTTCTATTGGATCCTTAAAAAACGCGTCAACTATCGTATAAATTCGAAATAACGAAACCTTTTCCCCAATTATGTCTTTAAAAAGGAATGTTTCAACGCAAACCCTTCCTAATCACACAGTTGAACGTACTTCAACTTTATGTATATCGCCAAACTGTCTAAGAAAAGTGTCCGACACCACTCGAAAACCGACATTTAGCATGTTAAAAATAACGTGTGTTCAAAATATCGATTATAATTTACAACTTTTGCCTACATTATGCCACCTCAGCGAGGAAGACATGCAAAAAATGGATATTGTTTTGTCGGAGGGGAAACTTTACATCAATATATCCTTTTAACAAATGAACTTTTGAGGTTTATTTACGTTTTTGAAAATTATTTTTGACTATAAGATTCCAACAACACATTATTAATAGAATAGACGGCAAATTATCTACCCTTAATACGAAAAAAGAAAATATAATATTAAAGCGTCTATGTAGACTGGAGGTAGTTGTTATATTGAACATTTTGTAACTTGATTGTAAGACACGATTTGATGAAATGATAACAATTTCAGATATGGAGACAATTTGGATTCTCTCATATCGAACCAGAACCATTAACGAAGCCTCGACAATTCAACAAAAGTAAGTTTACTTTGTACAAAATATTTATATTCATACTTGATACTTGATGAAACTGGTTTTATTAGAATATCGGTTATACGCAACCGGGAGCTTGTGTTCCATCCCTTACAATTCTCTCGATCCAGTCAATCAGCTTCCAAGCGGAACACTAACTCAATTGACATTTACATTAAATTGGGTTACCATTAATGATGATATCCTTTTACATTAATCATTTCTTTTCCTAATACAACATAATAAATACGTATTTTCCGTATATTCCTTGACGATATTTCGTGTCACACACATAGCATTATTACGACAGAAACTTATGATGGCAAAGCAAGAATTACTATCCTTAGAAATCGCTGCGATTGATATGGCGTTTCTAAGTTTGATAAAAAACTTATTGTTAGAAAGGTATCCACTAATATTCTCATTTAATTTCCAAGAGGTAAGAATTATTTGTTTAATTACTGTTTATGTCCTCCGCATTTTACATGAATGATTTCTAATTATATGTGATATAGAAACTTCAATCTACAACCAAATATATCCCAACGATTTCAAAATCTATCACGCGTATTATCAAAAATAGTCCTAATGTTGAATTTCGGTCGCAAGCCATTGAACTCATCAAAGTATACCATTTTTTTTTAGTTTCCTTTATTAATATTATAGATTAGCATCATCATCAATAAGTATTTTTCTAGAAAACTCGTAAACATGTCAATTTATCTTTCTCGTTATATCGAGATATCAAAGAAGGTCCTGATTTAACATCAATCCAGACAAAGAATATTTTAGGAAATGGGTTATACACAATCGCTAGAGACACCAATGTGCCTGCTCCATTAGTTATAGAGGTGAGATAATTTTCTAGAGTTACTATTATACTTGTTATTTTTTGCAAAATATTTAATCTTTATATAGCACGTATCAAGTGATGAAGAGATATCGGACAACCGCATAATGTCACGAGACATTATTAAATCAGGAAAACCTGATTTGAATTATAATTCAAAGGATATTTGCGATGTATCTGAAGTCGATTTCGAAATGATTCTGAATGAAGAAGACGGAAAATTATTATTTGACACGGATGAAGGTCTGTTCATTGGAGAAAAGACATTTGATGTTGAAGATGAATCAATGTTTGAAAATGAGTGTGACAATAACCAAAATTTGGTTGAAGAAGAGTTTGAATATTCTTCAAGTTCCGAGAATTATGAAGATTTTTGGGATGAAGAGGAGATACAATTCCTTTTTGGAACCAGCAATTCGGCAAATGCAATTTCTATGGATTTAACTAATGATTATAAAATCGAGTCCTCCAAAAAAGAAATTTCACATGAAACATTTAATATAGTAGACGATGTTGATTTATTGGATTTTGGAACATTTGATGAAGTTATGCACGACGAGTATTTAAATTTAGATAATTCGGAGGGATCATCCTCACTCATCAAGCGATATGTTTCAAATAATTTGTTTCCACATTCACGGCCGAGAAGCCCTTTTAGAGACAAGACGATCACTTTACTTCAAGGGCAAGAGACGCGTGATTTCAAAAAAAATTTGCAAAAATCGATGTTATTTCAACAGGTTCCAATTGAGAAAAATCAAGGTTTAGAAGACACTTTTTTTGATCAGATGTTTGATGGATGGTCGTGAGTTCGTCGTATGAATTTGTAAATAAGCATGTTTTATAAATTATTTGAAAAAATTTGGTTCGTTTGATTGATATTGAATGGCACAAGTTAGAGACTTACAGCCATGACATGTGTTACTATTCGATTTACGGATATTTGATCCGATGGAGGTCTTCCGTAATAAATAATAATTCAATAATCACTTACAGGAAGTGATATGACGACAATTGATAACAAGTTTCAATCTACGGACACATGGGCGTCGGGTTGAATGAAGATAAGGAAGAATTAGAAATAAAAAGAGTAGCCCAAATTGTGATTGTGAATTTTATAAGGGGAACTGAGATAATATGAAACGATTATTTGATTTACTATTTATTATACCAGAAGACCAAATAATTAATTTATTATACATTATATTAATAAATTTCATAAATATTACTTTAAAATATCTACATTAAAATATTAACAAAGCAGAATCGGACGATTTTAATATATGTGAGGAATTAATTTACTAACCCTAGTTGAATATTCTAAATAATCAACACCAAAAGTTCTTAATAAACTAACTTCCTCTTTTCTTATCCTAAACCAATAAGTTAAAGAAATTACAATAAAAATAATTGAGGCGACCAAGTAATTTCCAGAAGATAAACCAAAACCATTCCATATTAATAGTTGACCCAAATAACCCGGATGTCTTATATGTCTATACGGACCTAAAAACAAAAAAAAATATTTTTTAAATGCTTTAAAAAAATATAATACATTCAACTTGTAAAATAAAATAAATACCTTCGGTGACAATGAATTGTCCTTCACCGATTCTAAGATTTCTAGAAAAAAATCTATTGATTCTCATGGCATACAATCTTAACCAAACGCCAAGAAATATTAAACAAACACCAAACCAAGCAACGAAAAATTTATTAGGATAATCTATTTCACCAATCCCATCGTCTCGATTTTGAGAAAATGCAAGTATGATCGCAGGAACACCAAAACAAAATAAATAAATTAAATAAATTAATAAAGAGGAGAATGATAATGAAGATTTTCGCATCAAAGAAGTAGATGATGAGTATTCATAAGTAGGATTAAAATCGTAATCGAATAAAAGAGAGTAATATGTTGAATCCGAGTTTGGACGTAAACATGTGTCGAATAGTAAATTTACTAATAGAAATACGTATGATAGGAATAATGGTATTTGATCTGATGATGGAATTAAGGACATTATATGTAATTTATTTGGGTTTCTTAAATTTTTGCACTGACAAACTTTACCCAACAAACAATCAAGGAAAATTAATTGTTGTTTATTTCAGGGTTTAAATAAATATTTTGAATGATCAGCAAGTACGTCATTTTAAGTCAACGACCAATCCGATTAACAAATCTAATATGTAAGATGATTTAATATTTATTTAAGAGATTCAAATAAGAAAGTTTTGATTTTCTCAAAAGAATTTCTAGAATAACAACGAACTGTATAGTATATATATTAGTTTTAAACTTACACTAAGCTTAACCCCGCGCCACATATGAGATTAAAAATAACTGGTGACAAATAGGATTTTCACACCCTAGAATTATATGAAACATATTTATAAATTTTTACTTTCTTTTTGGCATTCGTATGTTCGATTTATAGTTGCACTATTTCAAAATGACTCTAATTTATCAATAATTAATGTTAAATATTGATTTGTTTTGTGGAATTATTGTTATGTAATCACATACTAAAGTGATTTGTATCAGTATTAGATAGTCAAAGTTACTTTAATTATCCTTGGTTACCTATTTTTTAGCCATTGTAAAATGAATAGTTAAAAGAATTTGTAGGGTTTTAACAGTATATGTTCTCAAAAGTATCTAAAGAAATATGAATCAATTCAAATCGGAAGAATCTCTCAAAAAATTGATTGTAAAAGAATTTTCAACTTTATAACAGACTAATGGTAATTTATGAGATAAAAAAATTATAAAAATAAAAAATAAAAAGTAAATAACTAAAAACTAGTCTGTAGATTCCTATATTAATGACATTTTAGCTTATCTATTTATATAAAAAACTAACATATTATATCAATTATATCATATATATTATATAAAAACGTTTTCAGTAAAATCAAGTTATGAGACATAGTAAATCATATAATTTATAATGTAATTTTACTGGAAACGCTTTCATATATATATTATATTACAAAATTTTCATCTTTTATTTTATTTTAAGAATTTTCAGCCTATTTTATACTTTTATTTAAATATATAATAGGATACTTAATAATTATAGTTATTTTATTAATATTATTTAGGTTTGTTAAAGCAGAAATAATATACTAATTAATAATGATAATTATATTAGAAAAATCAGTAGTTTTGTTAATATTTAAATAAAAGGTTTAGATTTGCTTAATAATCAAAAAATTTAATATTTATTAAGAATGATAAATATTTCTCTAATAAAATAAAGCAATTTAATTTAATTTGAAAAATATTTAAAAGTAATTATTATTAAATATAAATTATTATTAAAGAAACGTTATATTATAAATTCAAAATTATGTTTTATTTAAATTAATAGGTTAAATATCATATTACAATATATAAAGCATATAATTTCAAAATATTATTTACTAATAATTCTAAAAATTTGATTATATTTTAGATTATAGTAGTGATACCTGACGAAATTACCTTTTATAATATGATGAAATTGACGAAACCAAAATGATGAAACTAGTTTTTTATTAATGACAAAATTATTTTACTTAATTGCCAAAATTATA